GAACACCTAGTCTAAGTATTACAGAGAAGACATTAAGATGGAGTGCAAGCTACTGTTTCTGGTTCCTTCTGGAAATCTTCTGTTAAGTAGTCTCACCTGCTAGCACAAGCTTACACCTCTGACAATGTATCAGGCAACAGGTGGATACTTCCACCACCTGATTTTCATCTTTGTATTTAACACAGACCCCAAGCTAGAAGTCTCAAATATGAATGCATTTGGAATATATCTATCTGAGCTGATAAATACTTTTAACAATTAGCTGAGTTTTAGGATTTTGAAACTCCTACAAATTAAATAACCTTTTAGGACAGCAGGTGGTGAGAGCTACTGGCTGACACATTCCCTTAAGATGATCTCTTCGTATGTAAGGTATGAGCAAGTTAGTTTCAGAGCTTGCACAGGCTCTTTGTAAATATCTGGAGATGTGCTTTGAAAAGTAAGTTCTGTTTTAGAACTCTGATTCTTATTGTTTGCTTCTGCAGCTTCTTTTAATCACTTTTCTGTTCTTCACTATCAAGATAAGCTTTTTGTTATCCTTTGCACCAACACAGTGGAGTAGAAGCAATAATGTTATGTAAGGTTGTTGGTCATTACAATAGGTATATGCTAACAAGGTCACCTGTACCATCTGTAGTTCACAGGTGCAGGCAGTGATCTTGAGCCCTAGCAACAGTGGAAGCAACTCCTTCGAGCCCAGATGCTGCTACCAGAGCTTAACGAGCAGAAAATGGCTGAGACCCGTGGGTTTTGCCTCTTGCAGTGTATGTACATCTCCTGCACATTTGATCAGCCTGGATCTCTTCTCTGTAGCATTTCTTGGGACTCAATGACTTTCTCCCACCATTTCTAGGCCCCTTTCCACTTAGAGTGGACAATATTATTGACTTAACTTTCTTACTGTTTCTGAACCAAAGCAGACAGTTTATATGAATGCAGAGGAAAGCGGGGGTCTCTGTGAACACCAACAAATTGTTTCAGTGAACAAACATTCCAGAGCCTCAACAGCAGACAAGCAGAGCAAGTATTCAGGTGAAAGTATCTGGGGTTTGGGTGGGTTACTGCATGGGGGGCTATTCCGTGAAGTGCACGCTCAAGGCATCCAGAGCATCAGTCAAGTTGCTCTTAATTTCTGAAAGAGTTCAAAGCTCGCCTTGTCTGTACCCCTACGCTTTTCTGCGGCTTTGGAAGAACTTTTCACTGCAGCACTATCCTAGCAAGGAATAAGAACTAGGGGCAAGATTTGCCTCCTCTTCCCACCCTCTGGCCAGTCAGAACTCTAGGGATGGATCTAAAGCTTAGAGTGCTGCTGCTGGCACATAGATCATAAGAAAAATAGCAAACTCCAACATTCTCAGGCTTTATAAATGTGCTTTCCAGCAGTGTCCAACATTAAAAATCACTTCTATTCTTTTGACTTTTTTTGTCAAACACCTGTGATACTATTGAAACACTTTAGAAGCAGGGAAATAAGTTGTGCATAAAAAAAAAAAAAAACAAACCAAAAAACTTTTCTACTGCAGGTTACCCAGGTAGGAGAAAAAGCATCATCTGGACAATAATATTATTCCAAGTGTAGTGTCATGGGTAGTATGGAGACTGTACTTGAACTGCATCTACTTAGTAATCTCAGTGAAGAAAATTCACTGCTGACACAGTATCCAAGGAGCAGGATATTGTTACTGTATCTCCAGTCAATATAGATGCAAAGAAACTTTATGTTCAAATGGAAAGCAGGCTAAGGAAGAATGGTAAAATCTCAGACATCATAGATATATTTATGCTTCTTCCAGCTACATGAAATTTATTCCATTTTCCAATTAAAAAAATATATCAGAAGGTCCTTTTTTAAGAATAATAATTGATTTTCTAGGACATTGAAATAGTATTTCTTCTTCTACAATTCCATCTGTCATCTCCTACATTTACAGTAGAGCTCTTCCAACTCTGAATTTTAACCACAGATTTGCCAAATTCAGTAGGCACTTTAAAAATCACAGTGACAAACATCACACAACTGGTGTTATATCCACCAAGTATACGATTAAAGAAATGTCATTCTGCTGAAAACTTCCAGAGTAGTTTACTTAGGCAAAGTAACCTTTATTTCATTTTAATAAGAGCTTGATGTTTTCGCATCAGATACAGAAAAGCCAAAGACAAGAAGAACGGATGGGTAAGATTTCAAGTGTGTGGCATTTTCTCCAGGAAACATTAGTCAGCTTGGCACCTTCCTCTCCAGATGCCAATGGTATTACTTGCTGTTAACCGAACATGATCAAACCTATTTACCCTCTCTTATTAAGCACACATTAGCAGGCATCAAGCCACGTTGTGGGTTGTGTTTTTTTCTCTTTTAAATTAACTGTCTGCCTCCAACCTTAGTCAAGTTTTTCCTTAGCATCACTTTTTGAATCATCATTTAAAAGACAGGCCTCCGAGAGCTCACAGGCCAGGATTGTAGTAGACCAGTCATGAAATAGAAGCGAGACCAGCCCTGCCCAGAAGATGCTTGGAGATCAAAATTGTCTTAACATCTTCAGAGAAAGAGGCACCTACAGATGCTGAGATGACAAGAAATGCCAGAAAGGGTAGAGGGTAGGGTGAAGGCCTCATAGTCCTAGTGAGCTTATCCCTAAAAAAATGGTGATGGAATCTGAGCTATTGCAAATTTTAATATGCTGTTTATCATACAAATAAGAGTGCACAAAAGAAAGTTAGTCCAAGGGATGTAATGGATCATGGCTGCATCCAGTTGCTTGGAGAACAAAACATCAACAGAGATACAACAGGGATGTCTGAAGGACCTCCCTGACCTTTTTACATGTTGGTGCAATCAACTCATAGGATAAGGCAGGCAGGGACTAACCTGTGTGGAAGAGATGCAGAGTTCCATCGGAGTAGAACGGGGAACAAGCAGCAGAAGAGAGATGCCTGCTCTTTCTTTCTATAGTTGCTAGTTCCTCTTCATTATTTGTATGTGTTTCTTGCTTAGGGAGAATTTTGCAACGCCATTGCTGTTTCTTGTTTCACAGTATTGAGGAGGAATTTCAATAATTTTCTAGTTATGATAAACTGAGGTGCTTGTGCTGTCTAGGACGTGCTCTCTCGTGCAACTGATCGACAGTAGCTTATTAGAACGGAGAAGGATTAGCACACTTTTTGCTCAGAAAGAAAACAGATGCCAAGTCAACATAAGAGTAATAAAGGAGTGTTTCAGCTTTAAAGTAGACTTCATTAGAATAAAAACAAATAGATTCACTTACAGATTTTAAATACCTGATGAACACATCTCCTTTACTGAACTTCCGCTCAGGGCTCTTATCTGTGTGTTCAAACTGTTCTCAAAAGGCTTCTGTCTGAATAAGGTTTATGAAACAGGTGAAGAGGTAGTGAAGCTGTTCTGTGTTGGCTGGAATATGTCTTGCTCAAGAAGTCCTTGCAATGACCAGTACTTTTTTATGAGCGTTCTCTTCCTAAGCTACCTGGTTTTCATTTCAGTATTGCAGGGTATAAACTGAAAAGGTTGAAAAGCAAAAGGACAGTGAGTGAGATCCCCTAGACTTTGTCTAAAAGGAAGTTAAAAGATCAGCAAAAGAAAACAAATTTCAGATGACAGCACTAACAAATATGCAAGTCCTTTTAGAGCTAACAGAAGTTAGTACAATGCCTAGCTCCTAGTTGCTCTACCAATGATCTTTGCTCCAAACTCTGGCTAGAGACAGATTGTTATTTCATCTGCTTGCTCAACAGATGACTAACTAACCACTTGTATTACAGGAAGCATTATTTGAGGCATTAACAGACCCAAAAAAATTCTTCAGCCACAGCTTACATTAATGTTAAAGCTTGTCTGTCAGCACATTTAAGTCTTATTCCTGAATTACAAGAGTATATAACCTTCATGAAGGGACTATAAAGAAAGCATGAGGTATCTGGAAGAGCAAAAAGAACACAGGTCAAAGCAAGAAGAGTAGTGATGGAGATATGCAGAAAGAACAGGAAAGAAGAAGGTGGCTTGTAGCAACTTAGAAAACACAGAATTAAGTTCCAGAGCAGAATTCAGAGATAACAGCAGAGAATCAAGCAGAAACATGGCTGGAGAAACTGACCAAATGAAAAAACACTTACAGTCAACTTAGTTTTATAGGGAGAAGTAATTACTAGTGAAGCAGTCTTCTACTCTCACTTTCATACATGGGACAAGCTGTGAGGAAGGAAAACCCAAGCCTGAGAAGTTCCTCCACGGTTGAGGTATGTAGCATCTTGGGTTTGGATCCTGTAAATTCTGTTCTCTTGAATAAAATGAAGCCTTTGTATTGGTTTCAATAATATAATGCATGAAAGATTAATACAAATGTCTATCCACAAAACCTCCCACAAAAACCTGAAAACATTTCAGCACATATGGCAAGTTTAGATTCAGTGAGATTTCTGAAAGATGCCAAGTCCAGCCAGTAACTCTAGCCTTGCACAAGTAAATAAAACGCATTAGGAAGCAAAAATTTAAGTTTGCGTCTTTTTCACTCATGACTTCATCTACTTTTTCTTATGACAGTTATCCACAAAAGCACATTCCAAGTAGAATCCTTCAAGGTCTGTTCAAGTGTCCAGAAAGTCCTATGTGGTTATGAACGCTGCCACCAAAAGTATCTAGCAGCCACAAACAATTCCCAGTCAGGAAGAAGCACTCCGGCATGGAAACTAAATCAAGTCTTTTGAAACATCTGACAGTAATGTTTAATATGACAGAGTTGCTATCAAAATACAACTTTATTGATGAAACACCAATTAAAAGACCAACTAAACACAGGACAAAGACTTTTCAGAGACTGCAGTGTGAACTAGGTATTACACACTTCTAAGGAGCTACACAAAAAGGGGAGGGGGCAGTTACCACAGCCAGTTTTCTCTGGCAAACTGCTCAGACACAGACGAGTTCATGCAGCAGGCTTAGGAGGTTATCTATGCACGGATGCAATATCAACATTCTTTAGCGAATCCCGTGTGAAGTATTGCAGAAACGGCTACAATCAGTGTTCATGCTTACATTTGAAAAAAAATAACAATACAACATTAACAACAAATTCCTCTCTATAATACAAAACGTATTTGTCCTCTATGAAATCACAGGAAGTTCTCTGAGAGGAAAGTTTCTCCCAGTGCAGCCAAGAATTCACAAAGACGTTCTTGGAAACAGCTGTCAAACATGTCACTTATTTCCTCTCTTAAGTCCCTCAGCAGAGGCACTGTGGACTCACCATCTGCATTCAGAATTCTCCCAAAAAGTTTTCTCCAGAAATCACTGTCAACAGTCCTAAAACAAACAGAGCAGTTTTCAGTGAAACGGTATGCATACGCAACATGTCTGTCAAGATTCCCATTTATATGCAGCACTAAATGCCCTGGGAAAACCAAGTCTGAAATAATAATTTCACTCGTACGAGTAAATGTAAAGGAAAAGTAGGAATGTATTGTTCAGTTTATATGTGTGGGCCCTTTTCTCTTTCTCCAGTAGGCTTCTGAATAGTAACTGGACTGGCTGTTCCACACATCTACCAAAACCATTACTTTTACAGTTACACTCTTCTAGTGTACCTGACCACTACTCTCCATTCACACCAAGCCACAGCACTGCTAACTTAAAGGAGTTAAAGAGCATTCTTTGAACCAAAGCTCGCAGACTCCTTTCATTAATCAGGGGTAGAGGTAAATCTTATTCCCCCATTTACAAGCTAAGTTCACAGGTCAATATGAAAAGAAAGCTGCAAGAAAAATTAAAAAAAAAAAAGTGGTTTACAGCCAGTTTTACTTTCTTTTTTCCCCTGCCTTCCATCTTATACAAATAACATTTCAAAGACAATTCATAGTAATAAATCCCCTCTCTCCCAGATATACCCACACAACATGAACAAAAGGTTAAATGACTCATTAAAGTCTCAGAAAACTGATATCAGAGCTAACCCTTTGTTTTTCAGTCTTGCACTGAAGTCCATAGACCGTACTGCAGCTGACTACTGAAGCACTTAGTTCTGACTCAAGCTAGGAGTTACATTAGCTCTGGAAGAAATTATCTGCCTCTGTTTTATTTAAGTGACTAACAAAACAGCAGCAGCCATAGTCTCAGAAGAAATCTGGTCTGTACTCTTACACTAGTAACTCTTACATTTTCTAAAATAACAAAATCCTACAGAACATAACCAAGAAAAAAAATATGCAAGACTTAAGGCCATTTTCTTCATGGACTTAGACAAGTAAGGGGCATAGCAGAGGAGGTTACATGTTGGTAAGGATGTCTAAGGAGTTGAGTGACAAAAATAGTCCTAAAAATTCAAATGTAGCTTCTATATACTACCTCACATAAGCCTGCGCAGATGAAGTTGCCTAAAATAGTATGGTGAAAACAGAAAAACACTTCTGGAACTGAAAAATCTCCAAATTATTCTTTAATAATGATAACATGCTAAAACCCCCTTCCCTGAAAGACAGGTTGTCAAGCTTATAGTGACGCTCAAAGATGGAAAGAGAAACTTGATCAGAATTCACATTCTACCTTTCCAGAAGTCTTTACTACAGTGGTGGAGTATTTTGTGTTCATTCTGTCACCTTTTAAGTGGGCTCTGCTTTGAGTGCCGTTGGCCTTCGAAGAACAATTTTGTGCTTTGCCTTGCAGTTTCCCCACTGCTTTGGTATTTTGTTGGACTGGTAATGAAAGCAGTTCCACCAGTCATTCTACTATCTTCAACTTTTTTTTAATACTTAAGAATAATTAAGTCCTCTTTTAAAAGCTTTACTTAGATAAGGTCATGGTTGTGTGCATTTAACATTAATCAGCCTTCTAGTAAGACGACTTCTTCCTATTTGTCACTGCCTAAATTCTCAGAAATTTGAGAAAAGTTATCCTGTCCATACAACCTTCAAAACCCTCCCCCCAACAAACCCAAACCAACCCACAAAGAAGCAAAAACCCACTTTCCAAGTCACTTACAGAACTTTTAGTAGAAAGGACAGAACTAACACAAACTTTCAAAAAGAAAAGTAGAATTACTAAAAGCAACAGGGAAAAAAAAAAAAATCGTGTGTCTTCAGGGGTGTTGCAAGTGTCACTGCCATGCGGGGCTGTATGCAAAGGACAAAGCACGAGATTAATATCCACCAGCTGCCTCTTCTCACAGGGAAGTGCTTAATTGTACGGCCCCGTCTGGCGGACGGAGACTCCCTGCAGCAGTAAACTTGCTTGTCAGAGATTACTTGAGAATTTATCGAAAGCTTCCAATTGGCTGGAGGAAATGTCATCAATTAATAGGAGCCAGACAAACTGAAAGATCTATGTGTGAATGAAAAACAAGATTCAGTGCAGATTCCTTATTCCTGCATAATGCAATACCCTGTTTACACTGTTGATACAAGACTTCACTATAACGTGTACCTAAAGCACCTATACAAACATCTCTTGGAATTTGTGATATTGAAAAATAAGTATAGAAGATGAATAATAAGTCTACAACACTTTCAGAAGGAAAGCGGAAGACAGGAGAGAAAAAGGGAATTCCTTATTTATACTCCCAACTCTGAAGCAAAGTTATAAACTGATGTGCCCAAGCAAGCGATGAGCCATTACAGCCTGGTTCCAGCTACACAGAACTCATGCTCAGGCTTTACCTTCTTCCTCCTTAGTCTCCTCTAGCCCTTCACAGGTGCCCCTCCAAGTTCTGCCTCTACCCACAATCCCCAGCTTGGACTGAAATTCCTTTCCAATTGTTTCCTGCCCTTCAAACTCCCCATAACAGCCAGCCCTATCCTTCCAAACTCAGACTTGCTATACCTGCTACTCAGCTGCTCCTGCTCCAGTTATCCAGGCAGTTACTGCTATTTTTCTCATACCCACATCCTGATCAGGTCCCCAACACCCTGTTCCTACCTTCTCAACTCAGGCCTTGTGTGGCTTCATCTGCAGTAACTCAATTTAAGCTCTTGTTGAATATTAAAAATTAAATAAATAATAAAAAAATTAGAGACAACACGTGTCAGAAATCTGTCCCTCTATCCCAACAGAATACTGTTAAAAATCAGATCATGTTCTGATATGAATTAATATACAGGAGTCCTATTTTTATGAGCAGGTCAGATTTACTTAGCCCAAAGATATGTAATGTTACAATATCTGTCAGTAGAGAGCAAAAGCCAGTCTCCATCCATGATCTAGTTGCTCTTTTTTTGCCTTTTTTATAAAGTAGTTCTGAAACAAAGGCTATATAAGATATGTATTTACTGCCAACCTATACATCATTGATACTCATCTCTTCACAGAACAATCACTGTTGGTGATTTTGTTCTTCACAGCCTAGTCCTGTAAATTGATCCTCTCAAGAAAAAAACAAAAGCTACAGGGTGCGATATGGCATGCATAGTGAGTACTCAGCAGAAACCCACTTTAGCCTTGTAACTACTGATATCAGTCTATAACAATACAGAAAAACAGATACATGCCGAGTAAAGAAAAAGGCATTTTTCCCTTGTACAGAGCTTCAGACGGTAAGATCTTTTTTCAAAGGTTGAATACAACAAACTAGAAGGTATTAGTAATGCAGGTTGCTAGGGAACTGGAGAAGTCCCAGATTGGCAGTAGGTTTTCTTCAAGCAATGGTTATAAAAGTATATCCACACAGCGAGTGTAGCTAATAGACCACGACCGTGAATGCAGATACCTGTCAAGTAACTCCTGTCATGAGCAGAGCGCTCTGCAAAATCCTTATGAAGTGCCAAGGCATAAAGTTCTGCAGGATGTGACTAACAAAGTGAACAGTGTTTAGTCTAACAACAAACAAAGGGTAGATGAAAGCAGAGTAGTCTTACAGCCAAAACATCTGGCTAAAAGAAAGCAGTAGACATTAATACCTGAGGACAAACAGCAGCTTCCAAAAAGAAGCTACTGCAGATCAATCTTAAATTATAACTTTAAGTTACTTTTCTTCCTGGTCATATATACTGTTTCTGCAACTGTGACAGACAGGACCCTGGCATCAGTGTCTTAGTAGCCCTTCAATAGAGCCCAGAATGAAAAAGGCAGGAAAACCAAATAACCTCCATTTCTAAAGCAACATGTTCATGTATTTTTTCCTCACCACCCACTTACAAATTTCTCCAAGCTTGGTCTATCAAGTAAAAAGAGAGACTAAAGCAGTCCGGTCTGAAAGGATACAAAAAGCAAAATCATCAGAAGTGGACTGTTAGGCTCATCTTGAGCTTAAAATTGTCTCCTGTACAGCACAAAGGCCACTACACAACGAACAAGCCTAGTAGCTTCAAAATTTAAGTCCCCACAGAACAAACGCTTTTGGGAACAGCAGCACTAAGTTCTCAGCTTTGGAGATGGTGCCACTGTAAAGAAAGTGAAGGAAGTTAGAAGCAGTCTGTTCTTTCCGCGCAGCCTCCTCTGCAAAAGGACTTACTTTGACAGATTTTGGCTGATTTTCCAGATGGAATTCTCTTGGTAGACCTGGACATGATCCCCAAACAGCATCAAATGGACTATATCTGCAATGCCAACCAAGTCTACCTGCAATCACAACAAACATCACAAAGTTCAACTTCTGTTAACTTCTGCAGTCCCCTACAGATTCCTACTGTTTCTGCTTTTACACATTTAAGTCTGACTTGATCTTTGCATCAGAATCTTCCAGAGACCTGCAAAGCAAGAAAGCCTCAAAAAGTAAAATTCTGGTCTTATTGGAGGTATTGGAGCAGTCACAGGCATTCAACAGCACTGCTAGTCCCTTCACTTAATACCAAAGATTTAATCAGATGAAAAATTATCTTTATTCAGTATTTATTGATCAAATCTTGCCACAGAGTTTGCAAAATATAACTTAAGAAATCAGAGATTTTGTAAAGGAAACACAGAAATTAAGATGCCCTGCTAAATAGATACTCACCTGGTAAGGAAGAGAACTTTTCGCCAGAAGCTGTTGTCCATGAGGGGTCTGACATATTGGAAAGCTGTTGGGCAAACTTACTCGAGACTGTAATCTCAAATCTAGGCTGTGAGAGAAATCCACTATCTTCAGAGCTCTTGTCATCTCATCGTTAGCAAATGGATCACAGATCCTGAGCAGAGGAAGGAAATGAAGTAAAAGACAATCCAAACAAACTTTTTTTTTTTAAAAATGAAGTTTGACAGTGAAGGTGAGTCTTAGCTATGCCAATGCTCCCCTCTGATGGTTAGCTTAAGAACTACCGCCGAAAGGACTACGCCTGGACGGGCAAACAGCTGGCAGCCTGAAGCTTAAGAGATGACACTAGTATCTCCAGAGGAAGCAATGGGAACCACTAAAGGGTTAAGGATGACACTGTGTTGATATTTGTCACAGTTATCTGAAACACAGTTGGTGGAATGGGAAAATAGCATGATGTTTAGCGCTGCTCCCTCTCCTTCAAGATCTCACAAAACTGTATACGAGAAAGAATTAAGCTCCCTAATACTTCAAAAAAATCTTTCCTAGTCTACACACTAGGGAGGACAAACACAAGGGGCAGTCAGGAGTATCTGTAAGATGATGGTGCTCTGCCAAGCCAACCATATAAACACATCACACTTCTCACTACTATTCTTCTTTCTTACTTGAATGCTATGAGCATATTTTGTAATTGATACTATGCACTTGTCCTAGGATAGTTTTTGCTTTCTAAAAAAAACCCCTATTACCCTAACTTATTAGCAGTTTAGCTTGTATTTGCCACAGAGAAATCCAGCAGAAGACATCCAAGTCCATCAAGCCACTGTTAGATCAGTGACATCCAAAATGGGATGCGTGCACTCTGTGGGATGTGCAAGACAATCCACTGGGGTGTGTGAAGAAAATATTAGCACTTCAGTAGTATATGTAACTTAATTATAAATAAATTCTATAGATAAAATAATTATAAATAAATGATAAATAAATTATGTCCGGGGGGTATGTATTAGATGCCTGTAGGTTCAAAACACACTTAAAGTTAAAAATAGCTATTAACATATCAGTGAAGACTAAGAACAGCCTCAGTGAATTTCTTCTAATGGAATTCTATCTGAATCATGAGACATTCTAAAGTTACTATTTCCCACACTTAGTCCACAGATCACATTTCAAGGGATATGTGACTTTGTTAACATAATATGGGAAAGAGCTTAAACAAGAAAACTAGATCTGTGCATCAGGTTACAAGCTGAGCTGTAGCAGGAGCTAAGCAATCTGTTTAAGAGAATGTCTGCATATTCCAGTCTCACCTGCCCTTTGTGTGTGTTTTCTAATTTCCTGGTTTTCAGATACATAAAACCAGAAGGCAAGTTATTTACCAATATCCAGTTACATTGTTTCTTTTGTTTATTTCTATCAAAATAGTACACAATGATGTTGTAAAACTCATACTAAAAAGAATGTTTTTGCTATTGCACGTGTTCTCAAGTTTCTACTTTACCAATTATTCCTAAACAAAGTGTTTTCATCATGTCCAGAATACACTGTAGCCTAAAAAAAAAAAAATCGACTGCAATATCAGTACCCCAACTAAAGAGGAGAAATTACAAAAGCACAAGAGCTGTAGCTGAAACTGAGTATTAGATATCCTCCCATATTCATAGAAAGAGACAAACCTGTCTCCCAGAAAGAACACTTCCGGACTCAGATCTCCATGGACAATCTCTGCTCTGTGGAGCTTCTCTACCACACCCAGAAGATTATAAACAACCAGCAGGATAACTTCCTCCGTGATGGACTTACGGCCACGAATAACATCCTGAAAACAGGGAATAAACACATATCTATATGCCATCCTACCTTAGATTAAATGAAATATTTACAGCTCACATTGTTTTTCTTACTGATCTGTACAGGGATAATAGCCCTACCCTAAATTCAGCATAATCAGATTTTGCACATCATCAGCCCAGCCAGAATTAAAAGAACCACGAGCTCTTAAGAAACACTATTATTCAGAAGAGGACAAAAGATCAAGAGGAAATTGAACCGAAGGCCGAAATCACTATTTAATTTGTATCCTATTTATATGCAACAATTCAAAATGCACTTACAAGACTTTATTTAAAACGTAAATCCTTCAGCAAGACACTAAATGCTATGACCTTGCTATAGCAGACTGGAACTCATTGAAAGATGTCAAGTTAAACAAGAGTTTTAGATGCAAACCTTCCTGTGGAATAACACGTGGTTCTTGGCTGAGAACATTTATCACTCATGAACAAAGAGAATGTGAAAATGGACAGTCCTAATTTGTAGATACATAAAACAAAAAGCAGAGGATCTAGATTGCAGGATTAAGCACGTGACCACCTTCAGCAATGAACATAAGGACAAACAAAACTCACTAATGGTACCTATGCAAGAGGTCATGTCTTCTACAACTGTACTTTGTTGATCTGTACTGACCCCAAGCGTGAAGCGATTTATATCCCTGTGCAAAAGGGCACAGCCATCTTTATACAGGTAACAGCTGCAGTTCTCACTGAAGCTTTGGTCAAAGTCAGTATTCAAACGCTCCTGTAACTGAAGTGTGATATAAAAATCCCAAGGCACAGGCTGAGAATACACCTACAAGAAGGTACGTAAGAACAACATTTATTTTTGGCATAAAGTGAAAATTGCTCATCTTCATATTCATCTCATCCCCTTTTTTCCTCCCCGCTTTACCAAAGATGACATTTTCCACAGTCAGAAGCTTTTAATCTATATCAGCAATTAGAAAGAGGACTTGAAGCAGCAAACTTCATGCATGGCATTCGCAAATTCAGACCAAGCTTACTACATTTTACTTTATATTGGCTGAAGAGATTTTAACATTTCACACTTCTTGTATAATAACCATCGTACGTGTTACCTTTATTGCAAATCCCTTCGCATCCAACTGGGGGAAGTTAGCTGGAATGGCAAAAAACATCTTGTATTCTTCATTGGTCCAGTACTCCCATTTGATACAGTAAGTCTCATTTCCTGTTATGAAAGTTTATTTTCATGAGCTCTCAGCAAATATGCGTACCCAGGCTGTCAAGTTATTCCCCATCTACACCACATAAAACTAGTGAGGTTAAATATGAAGCACATTTCAAACCAATTAGAACATAAATGGATCTCTTGCTCTGTGGAGTGTCTGGCATACCTACCTAGCTCAACGTCTTTTTGACACTCCATGACAGGCAGAGCGCCAGTCTCCAAACGAAAGTCTGGAGAAGCAGTCAGTGATTCTGGCATAGGATCTAAAAGCTTTTTACGCTGCTCAGCGCTCCACAAGAACGGAGTTACATCGTCACCTAGGAAGACGAGTAATAGAAACAGATGAGCTGAAACTAGGCGTCGAGTCTCTGCGACTTGATTGTATCTGTCATGAAAAAGTAACTTGGACATTGGAAGCTTTCTACCTGCATACTGATCTACTGCATCGCCTTTCGGCAAGTCAATTAATCTCTGTCCAGTAGTTTCTTGTGAAGTGAACATAACACTCGTCTTTGAACCTACTTTACAGACCATCTCATCATGAGGTCTCAATGATTCTACTGTAGCGTCATGTAAAATGTATCTTCGACAAGAGACAAAGCTCTGAATTAGGTTAGGTACGTCTGCTCAGCCACAGAAGAATTTAAACTCATTTTGCAAATTAACACTCCTTTTTTAAATCTATGTCCAGAGTAAGTGATCAGTTGGTGATTTTTTAAGTGAAGGGTTTTATTGAAATTCACTCTTTTGAATACAGCAGGCGGTTTATGTAATAAAAGGAAAATCAAGTTGGACTCCAACTCTGCTGCTCACTGTAACATTAAGAATTTAATGGCTTTTACCTGCTGGAAGACACATAAACTAATTACATGTAGGTCTGGGTTTACTTTTCTGCGTAATAGGACAGCAAAAAAAAATCATTTAATAGATGAGTTCATCTGTACAAAACCAAGGTAGCCTCAAAAGTGTTGATCTCAAATGATCAGAGTAAAACACAGCAAACTAGGTGGCTTCTACTGACTCCCTCTCCCAAACTGTATGGCCAGTAATGGGTGACAACATTTTAAGCTTTCACAGTACCAAGGTAAGAATCAGAGTATCATTACTTACTGTGATACTCATTTATCCGAAAAGCATTGCAGTCAGATATTGCTCAGGAAGTAATCCCGCCAAAGTAGTAAATTGGAAGACTAAATAGGTGTTCCACTATTTTACCATCACAAATTTATGAGATTTACTGGCATACTTTACAGGAATAAACTGAGACATCTGAAGTTATTTTTCTGCTCTATGCAGTGTTAAGGAGTCCTCAGCAGAATTACTACAACCAGGTCGAGAACTGCAGTTCAAGGGAGATGCACAGAAAGCAAGAAGAAAAGCAACGGGAATGATCCAAAGTTTAAGAAAGGACCATTAAAACTTCTGAACAAATGCTGCCTTTTTCTGAAAAGAATCTCTAAAGATATTTCATCCTGCTCTAAAGATTAGTGCATATGATAAAAAATGACTGCAAGATCTATCCAAATATTTCAGCTGTTTCAGTGACAACACTCTTCACCTAATTGTATTTTCATTCCAGGTCCCGAGCATGCTTTGCCATAAGAGTCTGTCTGTTATTGTGCAGACACACAATAACATATTCTTCTCTAGAGTAGATACACTGAGGATTTTCAGCTACAGAGTTCTAATTAAGATATTGTAAGCTGAAATCAAAGGAGTAAAGCAGGTTAATCACCCTGAAAGCCATAATTCAACACAAAGCTGATTCTACAGGCCAGATTTTGAAGGCTTTTTGTGACCATTCCTCTTCTAACTGTAATATAAAGATTGATAACAGAAAAAAACCCCAAAGATCTTTGGCCAGAAGACAAACAAATGAAATTAACTATTTAAGTACCAGTACTGTTTTCCTTCAATAGGAAAAATAAACACACTGCAAAGCAGCACAATAGTTTACAGCAAAGTTAAGAGTTCAAATTTAAAGCCAAAACTAGGCAACTTTCACTAGATTTCTAATTCATATTCACCATTTTCAGTGTGGCACTTATCAGCACATCAGAACAACACAGAGTACAATTACAGAGAGAAAAAAACCAACGCAAAACCAAACAAAGCTGTCTTAGAAGTTCTCACTACCATTCAGTCCAAATTTTTCATTTCAGAATTTGACATCTCATCACTCCTACACACTTCCTGCTGTAATACCTTAAACAACTTCTCCATCACCTTAATATTTACATCTTCTGGATGCTGACAAGCATGCTATACTGCATACCTCACTACTACTTCTGGCAAAGGAGACGCAAGCTTAGTCACAAGTCAAAGTAATGGGAAATACACGGAAAGCAGAGCAGAATATAGGAAGTACAGAAAAAGCGCCATAGTTTAGTGACAGCTGCAAGTAATTTGTTGTAACTCAGTTTCGTACTAACCGGTAATGTTTTCACTGATACCTCCAGCATCAGCAACCATTTCAGCAGGCAAGCTCTGAGCAAGTTCCAGTTTCTTGGGGATGTGCAGGTATTTAATAGCAGACATTTGTGTAACACCGGAAAGAGAAGATCCTGAGGAGACAGAACCACCTGACGATCGAGTATCTTCCAGGCTTGCTTCCATGATCGGGCTGTAAATAAAATCAGCAACTATTCAGACTTTCAGACGATACAGTGTCTAGAGAATGCTGGCCTAGTGACTATGACAGGACACTGTGCAGTCCTAGACTTCTTTACGTCAAAGAAGCCCTTTCCCATCCTTAATGGAAAACCAATACTTATGTCAGAGCTTCATTTCAGCTTCAATGATTGTTTCTACTCAGAATCTTGCTCTATAGATTAATTGTATCTTCTATTCCACTAAATATGAGTGCACAATAGAAGACATACTGAATATGCAACTCCCTTAGCTACTAAAATTCAGACTTACAGTGCTTTTAAAGCAGTGGAGGATTGGGTGGGAAATAATTTGCTCTGCCTTCCTAATTATAATCAGCATGGTTTCCCAGGGAACTTGACAAGTAAACAAACACCTTCTGCATAGCATACATGTTTACATACTAACAGCTAACAAATCAAACTTAGTTCTAAGTGAAGAAAGACCCATCCCACAGATGCTTTTTTCTTTACAATGATAAGAAACAGGAGGTTGTTTGCCAGTTTTTTTTTCTTCTCTCCAGCTTCTCTCCTCCGTAGAAGAAATCTAAGCCATAATCACCAGATGTATTTCATATACTAAAATAACTACAGAAGCATACAAGTATAAAAGGAACTGATGATTCTACTTTTCATCTCTGGTTACATAGACAGAATGTGCTTATTAATTTATTTGCAAATTATTTGGTAGAAGCAGCATGGATTCAAGTCCCACAGCAGTAATGCTGAAAAGCCAGGTGGACTCTTAAAGCCAAGACCTCCTAAATCTGCTCAAGGTACAATGGACCCTTGAGCTAGAGAAAAGGCTGTCTTCAGTACATTCTGATCTCTTCAGAAAATTGTTTCTTCAGCAACAGAACGGTAAAACCATAACCAAAAGACATGCAGGAAAAAGGGCTTAAGACAATTCGTCCCTAATTACCTCAGTTTATTTACACAAAGAGCTTCACTGTACACTCCTTCACAAACTGGCGTTTCCTGATTCAGAGGTGCACAATTCGATTCTGGACAGTCTTCCTTCAGGACACTCTGTGAAAAAGCAGGAGCTGGGACTCTCTGAGCTACCACCCCGTGAAAGGGCGTTGAGGCCAGATGAGCAGCCCTAACAAAGTCACACGTGTCTTCTGGGTTGGCACAAAGGGTCTTGTTCTTGTAGGAGCCGGTCACAATAGCATCTTCAGTCAAAGGTTCAATTCCATTCAGCTCATCCTGAAAAAAGTAGGAAGCGATGGTGAAAAGCCTGCAGATTATGTAAATTAGAAGCGGAACATTTATCTCTCCCTTTCTTCGACTCCACCACCTCTCAACATGAATATGTCACTCAGTCTTCATATACTCTATTTATATTGCTCATTGAAATTGAGTAATTGAACCCTACCTGTAATATAGTTGCATATATTGTTTCCTTGACTAGAAAGGGTAGCTTTGTTACCCTCTAGGGCACTGCAGAGCTGCCATGAACTGTTATGGGCTGCATAGTATCCACCATCCCAGAAATGTGTTTCTGTTCGGTTATAAGCACGTTATTGTAGTGTTTACTGAAATGTTGGGCATTGAAGACATATAGGACATGTAAAGCAGACCTGTGCAGTTATCCAGACTGACACTAGAACCAAAATCAGCATGATGCTTACCATGCTTAACCCCGATAAGTATTTCATGTTGTAGCTGTACATAAACTCCTTCTCAGCTCAGAATAAAATCCTCTCACTCAACCAGTCTAAAGGTCTACTGCGGCATGCAGTAACTAAGTCCTTTGATGAGACAGCAACTACCACCTCTACTGAAAGCTTTACAAACATCTGCAAAACTGCCACATAGACACACATAGCTCAGTAAACAAGACACAAAAGTTTAAGGGAGTCCAGCATATGGTACTTTGGGTGAGGAACACATGAGCCGAGATGCTTGTTTGGATGCATGGCAAGAAAGTGGGTGGAACAGCAGGCAGTGTTTAAGAGTGCAACTCTTCATCACACAAACTTTTTATAAGTTTCAGTGTTTGTAATCCTTGCCACTAATCAGTTGCTTAAAATTTGGAAGACTCCGTACCATCATCTCTGTACCGGCCACCTTAAAGCCCAATCAAAACATGAAATTTCCAGTGTAATCTTAACATCACCCAATTCAAGTATTGCCACGCCAGACAGAAGTTTAGAATCCTTGCTTATCACGCATCAAATCAGTCCAGCCAGTCTCACTCAGTTCAACAGTACGACATTCTACGCTGGCTTCTCCGTGACAGGAAGTCTGCTATGGAGTAAATTGTTTCCTTACGCAGGCTTCTGGCGGTAAGTTTTCCTTTGCAGTTAGAGAATCTGAAGGTTTACGAACAGCAAGAGGGCGCCGGGCACTTTTCTGTATATGCTCTGCAGAACAACTAAGATAAAGTTACATTCCATTAAATATTTATTAGAGTAGCTTCTGAACTTCAGCAGATTTCTCTCAAGAGTTGAAGTCACTGACAATTTCAGTCTACCACTTTCTGCTACAGAACTACCAGTAAAGTGCAATATATACAGCTCTCCAGAGTGAGGAAAGTTTATATGGCAGATTAAAAAGTTCTACATTGAAGAGGAACAACAGGAGAGTATTTCCTCATCACAGACTTCCCAAGTAAAGTAATGAAATAAAACAAAAAATACAAATATAAATAAAACACCACCCCTACATCCATACAAGAAACAGTACTGTATTTCAGCTGCTACAGAAAGTGGTTTGATACTTCAGTTTTCCGTCCCTCTGAAATCTAGATCTGGAAAAATTCTACCTTCTATTCTGATCTGCCAAAGTAGAGGATTCATCAAATATGGAGAAAACCGTAGCAGGATCCGGTGGGGGAAGGAGACCCACACCTGTAAAGGAAAACAAAGAGGCTCTATTGTATCAACAGTTTTTCCACAATAGTGTATCCAGTGCTACTTAAAACATATAATACACAGCCTTCAAACTACCAGTCCCAGCAGGAAGTTACAAAACCGACATTTAAAGAAATCTTATTAAAAAAAAGGCTTGGTGTTGTCATGTTAATGAACCACACTTTTAACACCACATTATGTTAAATAGCTCGCTCTTTTCAGAATATGCTTTAGAATTTGTACCTTTTTTCTCAAGGCTGGCCTCATCCCTCTGTTCCTTCTGTTCATTCTCAGAGTCTAAAAACACATTTCCCCTTTGTGTATCTGGGCGTACGTCAAGAGACTGGACAACCTCTGTCAACAGCAACAGTTGTCAATTCGGATCAAAAGTAAACTTCTTCAGCACACACCCTTCCCAACAACAAAACTGAATATATGATTTCTGATTATATTCCTCTACCAAATCCTCTGAGGAAAAAGAAGGACTTAAGATAGTACCAATCTTAGCATTAAACTCTTCTACAGATTTTAGAAAGACTGCATATGTGAAAGTGTGAAGAAAGCTTTTCAGCTATTAAAAGAAAAAAGCTCTTCTGCTTGAAAGTCCTTTCAAACAGTGACAGTTCTCAGGCTTCAGATGTTCTGTCTTTTGCTGAATATGGTTAAAAGCACTACTCTAGCACGTTCTCATTTTCAGTCTTCGAATCCACCTAAAACTTCTGGTTTCAGTTCGTTGCAGTCTTGCTATTCATTTAAAAGAACACTTCCCTTTAACACGGCCTTCTCCTTAATGGTAAAAAATTTAAGTATTTACCCTCAGAACAAGCTGGTTTCTGTAGCTGAGTATCTTCAGAGACATGGAATTCACTGTGAAAAAGATACAAACTTGTTTCTTATGTTTTTTACACACCTTCACAAAACGTAACTAAACTTTGTAAAAAAGGCAAGCCAAGCTGACATATGCTACTTCAAGTGAAGAGCCTTCAGACAAATAATCGAAAATATATAAGATCTATTACAGATCCTGGTTACAGGCTGCTGCCTAGGGTATATGCCATTCTGCCTGTGGAAACAGGCTATCTGTTAGTGATCCATGTGACTCAGAACTAATTATCTCCACAAATTTTCTCATTGCTGGCAAACAAAATCCTGTATTACCTTTGCAGCTGAGGCTGCTTCTCCCCAACTTCTGTTGCACTGGAAAAAGTAAAGCCGTGCAGTCCCAAACATGGCAAAGCTCCTGTTGTCTCTGGTGGCTGTAGAAACAAAGCCATCCTTTGGTTCAATGGCGATTGCATCAGAAGCCTTGCAATAAAGTTCCAAGAATATTATCATAATACTGTGTAGGTTGTTCGAGCCATAACAGATTAATAGCTGTGTTTAGGTAGTTTTATTTGTATTTAATTTACTTGCATGAAAAAAGTTCATTCTTATCGCTTAGTGTAGTCAAAATACATAGTTTACTCTTTGCAACTGTATATAACTTCCATAGTTGCAGTATAACTAAAATCTCCTCTTAAAGACATACGGAAGCTATTACATAGCTTGCTTACATCAAACTTATAACACTTTGTATTTCATTATTTAAAATATTTACTACTAAGGCATTGTTTCAGAAATGGGGAAGGTGGGGAAGGAGAGAGAGAGAAAGAGACAACATTCTTTATTAGCCCAACTAATGAAGTTGCAAAAAGGAAAAGCTTTGAAATAATTAACTTTTACTTGTTACTTGCAACCTATAAGAAAATGGGGGTTTAAACGCTACCTAGCAATGACAGCCCAAAGTATACTTGCTTGGTCTGCATAGAAAAGGAAACAAACAAACAAAAAAATCTAATATATAATAGAGCATACTACCGTCTATAAAACTTCAAGAGGAATCGGGTGTGGCTTTGTGTACTGGTCTTGCCTGGGACAGAGTTAATTTTCTTCATAGCAGCTGGTATGCTGCTATGTTTTGGATTTTTGACCAAAACAATGTTGATAACACACTGGTGTTTTAGCTATTGCTGAACAGTGCTTACACAGCATCGGGGTGTTGTGTTCTTCATGCTGCCACCCCAGCGAGTACGCTGCGGGCACACAACAAGCTGAGAAGGGACACAGCTCGGCCAGCTGACCCAAACTGTCCAAAAGGATATTCCATACCATATTACATCATGCTCAGCAATAAAATCTGGAGGAAGTGGGGATGTTCAGAATTGCCGCATCTGTCTTCCCAAGTAACCGTTACGCATGATGCAACCCTGCTTTCCTGGAAACGGCTAAACATCTGGCTGCCAGTGGGAAGTGGTGAAGGAATTCTTATTTTGTTTTGCTTGTGAGCACAGCTTTTGATTTACCTGTCGAACTGTCCTTATCTCAGTCCACGAGTTTTCTCACTTTTACCCTTCCGATTCTCGCCCCTATCCCACTGACGGGGAGTAAGCAAGCGGGTGTGCGGTGCCTACCAGGGTTAGCCCACACCACTTTGCAGTCCTTCACTTCTTCCCCTAGTTCCAGGTTCTTCTCCCGTCTGCTTTTGCACTATAAATTCTCTCTCTATAAAAGGAAACCCCGCACCAATAAAGCTTAAGAAAGACCAAGTTGCCCTTAAGCATTTGGGATACCTTTACTTAAAAAAAATTTAGAAGTTTATACCGTAGCATTAGATATCTTGCTGAACTGTTAAATAACAATACTTGTATAGTAACACTACTTGAAGCCTTTCATTTACATTCCTATAGTATAGTGAAAGGATATGGCTTGGGGACAGGCTGGGGAGAAGAAAAGAAATGTTTCTCTGAGCATTCATTTACTGTGTGAGGTATGTGTACAATAGCCTGAAGCAGCCTTTCAAAAAAAGTTTAAGAAGCGCTAGCCAAAGAGAAGCATGTTAGATGATGTTCCCCTTTCGTACTTTTTAATTAAAATAGTAGCTATTTTTAAAAGAACTGTTACGTGAGGGCAATACCTGTTCATGCAGTTGTTGCTGCTTGTCATCTTCTTTCTTCTTTAATTTCTTCTCCAGCTCCTCAATTTTCCTTTGTATTTCTTCCTTCTTCTGTGCTATGGCCTGCATCTCCTCTAAGGAAGAAAATCTTATAAGGCACAGTACATATTTCACATGCAATCCGTGGCTAAAGGCTAAATTATTTTTAAAGGGGCTAAAACATCTGCTCTTCTTTCTCTCTCATGACTTACACATAAAGCTGTCGGATATGTTACTTCCACTGTACCTCAGAGCAGTTAAATAACTGTTCCAGCAGAAAAAGAACAGCAGGTGCAATAACAGCTGTATGCTGATAAGAAGCAAGTATAATTTTATTATTCTATCTCATAAAGTCTTATGCCACCCTATTTTGAAGCATACCTTCAGTTTTCTTCTTTGCTTTCTTTCTGTAGATTGCAGCTCGGATCTCTTCCAAAGAAAATTCTTCGACTCCAGCATAAACTTTATCTTTACAGTACATCACCATCTCTTTCTTTTCTTGAGTATCCTGCTGATAATTTTGTACTCGCTGTAGCAGGTCCTCCTCTTTCTCAGGTTTGCGAGTACTTAAAACACGGTTTATGCTGGGTTCAATTTTGCAGGGAGTCCTGAAAAAAACCCGCAGTTATTAGTTTGATTGTGTGTACTTCCCTGTAACACAGAAAAGCAAGCACAGGAGACAAAATGGCTTATTTCAGAATCTAGTCGTAGAATAAAGACATTCTGTTCTGTGATAGAAAAAACAAACAAGAACAACAGAATGACAGCACACAAAAGGCACACATACCAACTCAGAATGGTGTAATAAAAAAAAAAAAGTGTTAACAAGGCCGCATCAAGAGCAAATAAAATTCCTATGGTACTCTGAATTGCTGTGTACTCTGGAGCAGGATCTATGTTTACTTAAGCTCCATCAATCTGTGTGACCACACAGGTGACAAGTCCCTGATCATCCCACAAAACAGTTTATCTGGGGAAAAAAGAAAAAAAAGAATCAGTGGAACTTAAAAAAAATTAAAGATCTTGGACTAGATTAAGCCTGGCATTTTATATTAAGGAAAAAAGGGAATATTTAAGATGCAATGAGAGGAATTTGTTCAAGAAGAATGTTTTGCATGCTGAGTGACAGAAATGAAGTGCCCTATTATAAAAACAAACAAACCCCACAGAAAACCCATCATTGTACAGTGAAAGGAGTCCGTAGCAGTCAATTTCTTAGCTTGAAAGCGCTTTCTGAAAGCGCTACATGCTTATTTCAGGAGAGAGGAGCCAGGATTTGGAGTTTTACAGATACCAGTAATCCAGATGACTCCAGCAATTATCTGTACCTCAATAAAAGATGATCTGAACAATTGACCTTAAAAAAGTGTTAACTGCTCTGGGCAAACAGTTCAAAAGAAAACACAGTGCACAGCTGCAAGATATCTGTTTTGTTTTGCATGTGAATGGACTCACAACCCTAAAACTGCTCGGGAGATGATGAGGCCAACAGGTGCTCCTAATGGTTGGGGGTTTTTACAGCTCTTTTTTTGTCGGAGTGGGGGCTTATTACCAACATCACCACAGGGTCCTTCTACCCAAATCTCTGGATGCTGACTGATGGCAGGATTTGCATCATGTTTACACAGTTTCACGGCAACGCTTTCAGACTTGATTTAGTGGACAACCATGGCATCATGAGGAAATAGACTCAAAGGCAGGGAGAAAAAAAAAAATCTGCTTTTAAACTTTCAAGTATGTAGTGTAAAACTCCACACAAACTCTCTGCTCAAGTTGCTTACAGCTAATTTAGCATGATGTGCAGCTCCCACCCACTCCGTCCTTTCCCTGTTGCCTTCTGTAAATAATGAGTCTTCACCTGAGAGGCCAGCATGCCAAGAGATTTAATTCCATGGCATCACTGACTTTCAGGAGCAAGAAATAGTCTTATAACTTAGACAGAAACCTATTTTTTTTACATATTTGTAAACTAAATTATGGTACGTCCTTGGCCTGTGCTATTCTGCAGTCCACGTGCTACAAGCAAAACCCACAGGAAAAACCCATGCTGTTAGCCACCTCTCAGCATTCTATGATTACATGCAATTTGGAGCCATGGAAGCTGTCTGTAATATCAAACATTCTTTTCCACTTCCCTCCCAGGAAGACCCTATGTATTCTATAACCAACTTTAGCCACAGAAAAAGCAAGGTAAGCAGATTTGCAAAATAATGCATTTTCCTCTGCTCTAACAGAGCACCCCCATCCGCTGGGATTTATCAGCATTTCAGCGAGCACTGTACAAGCAGGAAGGTAATCTCAGGCAAAACAACCTAAGCAACACTGTTGTCATGGCAACTTTGATAGCTTGTTTCAGAATAAAACTCTAGATAGACTGAGCACAGTTCCCACGATAGAAGAAAACAGCAATAACCCCGTCTCCATTTGAGGCTGCTTTCATAGCAAACAGCATCCTAAGAGAGGTAGCTGTTTTTGTGTAAACACACTAAGTTAAGCTATTAAAGTAATTAACATATATAAATATGATATAGGCTCCCACGTAATGAGCAGTCAAATACTTCTCACGTCCTTACACATCCTCCACTGAAGCCTCTGCCATCAAGCTAACACACAAAGAGCTTCCAGGCTGACAGATTTTTAAGTTCTTGTAGATGTAGAGGCTTAACTAATCAGCAAAACAAGTTGGAATCTTACGAAGCAGCTTTGATAATTTCAGCTGCAGTCCCCACTGCAACCTGAAGACTTACATGCCTTGTTGCTGAGCTGATTCCTCCACATACGGGGTGAAATTAGGTAGTGGGCAGGGCATTTCTATACCAGAATTTGCACTGCTGCAAGGCCGCTGAGGAAGGAACAGACAATGTTATTAACAGCTTAAAGATTCAGTTTTAGACTCTACGTTCCTCTATACTCTGGATCTCCCTTTTTGCAGCCTTTGACTTACTTGTAGTTTTCATATTTAAAAAAATTAAACCTGATAGACTTTTCCAAGATTAATTTACAAGATTAATTCCGTTGTGATACATAAACAGTTACAGACCATCAGCTGAGCGCTAGCTCCTAAAAGAGCAAGGCACACTCATCCTGCGTGTCCTCATCAGTACCTAGTTTCTGTTATTCTGAGGGAATACCAGTCAAACTGGGTTATTCCTGTTGCTCCTCTTGTTTGTTTTCCAGAAATGCTGTAGTCCTCATTTGTCAGCCAGGACCATCCCAATTCTTTGATAGTATTCCTTCTGCTGTCCACCAAGAACCTCCAGACTTCTCAATTTTCCACTCAGAGGCCATTCCAACACCACAAAAAGTCCCTTAACTGTTTCTGGGGTCCATTATTCAGGAGAGGACAGATGGAATATAGCCTGGCAACCTGCTACTCATCTGCCTGTTTGAAATTCCTCTAGACTCTTAAGCAGAAAGTTACATGGTGAGGTATTTCACAAACTGACATCTCTTTTCCACCGTTCTTCAAACTGCTTACTTAGCCATCTTCACACTGGCAAAAAGAGAGAACCCTCTTTCCTCTGTGCAGCTTTTAGTATCTTAAAGCGGTCACAGAAGGTTATTCTTTCACTGTAATGCAAGCCAGAATGAGCATCACACTTCAGTGAAAGGGAACTAAACATCCTCAGCTTCTGCTAGTTGATTTTTTTTTTAATTAAATCTAACAAATTTCATTAAAGGGGGACCAGAGAGAACTCCAAGGACATTAAAAGAATACGTAAGCATCTGGAGACCAGAATGAATGTGTTAAGCAGCCCAAAGCAAGGCAACTGATAAAACTTGGTTTAGATTAATAATTCCTCCTTCTCATTCTTCTCAGCTAAATTAAACTTGTGATTTATTGAACTTTCCCATTCACTTAATCAAACTGCTTTGTATCTGGTAGTAATTATTCATGGAGTTTTCATGGATTTCAGCCCATTTGCTTCCCTCCTCTCATCCTCATTCTTTGTTTCTAAGCTTCTCAATATAGAAGTTGTTACAAGTGAAGTCTAAAATATTCTTATCATCTGATTATTTTCTATTCTTCCCCTCTAATCCACAAAGAGCAGGGGAACGCTAAGGGTTATCTAAGGACCTATGAAACAAACTTTATTTCACAGGATTGATTTCCTCCAGATAATGGCTTGGATCATTTCTTTAGAACAGCTTAAACACCTGTAGCACCAGCTGCTTCTTTTCATGCCTCCAGCATTAGTTTAAACCGCTGGAATCTACTTTCTGTCATCCTATTGTCAGGATAAATATTCAATTGATAGAGTAGTTCAATTCTTTTGATCTCCACTCTTCTGTTTTCCTCACAAACACTTCAAAACAGACTTGCAGAATGTTGTACATGCCTTATTTTCATAAGATAGGCAACAAGTTCCTCCCTCAGGTTGTACTGTATTATATCAGTTTAACTCTGGCTCTTCTTTCTTACATAATTAACTAATACCTGGCTTCTCTCCCTTTCTTTGGCTAGTATTTTCCCTCATATTCCTTTTCTGCCTTCCAAAGAGTTTGGCAAGCCATCTCTACCAATTTTTCTGGTTAGTACGAATTCTAATTTATTGATTTAAGAACTCGAGAGTTTTTAAAACTTATTCTAGCACGATCAACTTGCTAAACTTGAACAGGTTACACATAATCAGAGACTCTTTA